TCAGGACATCTACTTTTGAAGAGCTCCCTGACCAGGGAAAGAAGATTCAAGAGTGAAGTTTGTAAGGTTTCAGCCCTCTTTCCAATGTTAGAAGAAAAACCTTAGCCAAAGGAAATGTAACATAGTTTAATCGGGCAAAGAATGATTCACCAATCAGCCAGCCTCCAGAGCCAAAGTAGGCTCAGAGACTACAGAGCAGCCACAGGATGGAAGAAGATTTGTGAACAGAAAAAGGAAAGTGACACACAGGAAACGGAAGTGAGGTATAGAAACAGCTGGACTGGTGACAGCTCAGGCATGTACCTTATTTGAACATGGTTTGAACAGTTGGCACCCTTTGATTGGCCAAAACTCAGTGATTGGCACAAGAGTAGGTTACAGTCTGTTTACACCTCCATTTAGGTTATAGTTCATGATGTACGTGGAAATTTTTAGGCTGAACTTAAAATATATAAAGAGGCAGCTCTAAACTATTTAACACCAAATTCAATAACTAATTTTAATACAATGCCTCTCTTGCTTATCAATATTAGAATTCAACACCTCCAACAAATATTCATCAAATACTTACAATACACCTGATTGCAGGAAATAGAAGCGCAGGTATTTTTCAAACAACTATGGCATTCCATGTTTCAAATTGTATGTTCTTTTATTTATTAAACTTTATTGTATCCTTTATTAAAGGATAAATTATTTTATCCTTTCATATCCTTTGAAGTTCTTAGGATTGCTCACATTTTGCAGAAAAATAAACTGAGGCTCAAACAGTTGAGCAGTTTAGCCAATGTCAGGGCTAGGAATAGTGGGAAAATGGGCATCTCAACTACATTGGTCTGGCTTATGATAATGGAGCTCCACATATTCATTCCAAATCAATTAAAACTTAGAAGTCATTGGTTTAACAGCCATTTTTAGACTTGGTATTACTTGAAAGTACAATCAAGGGATCATTTATTCATTAGAGTAACTACAGTTCTAGTTGAATAAGCTGAATTTTTTTCATGCTAATCATGTCTTTTGTGTACTATTCATTATGCCATGGTAATCTTTTCAACTTCATCAACTTCCCTTTCTCTGTAATAACTCATTGAACAGAATTCAGTTCTATAACGTGGTCCAGGGATGCACTCCTATCCCAGGATTTAAAAAGATAATAATCATAAGGCATTTAACAAAATGCTCATAACTAAGTAACCAGTGTATAAAGATTATTTTGTTTAGTTACAGAGCATTGGTCTTTATGTCATATAGTAAGTGAAAACCTGAAAAATAAAAATCCAAATACTCTGATAAGAACTGTAAATATCACAAACCTATTAGAACTGAGGTAGAGATGGAGACCATTATGTGTGTCTAAAGTGACACATCTTTAGCTTCAAACACACACTCATGGGGCTTACCATGAGTGATTGTGTGTTCAATTATAGAAACACAAATATAAAAGCAAATTTAAAAATATTCTGAAAAGTTGTGAATCTGTTGTCAAAATTATGACTAAAAGGCAAGATATAAATAGAGGGCTTTTTTACTTTTTTATTTTTATTTTTTTGAGACAAAGTCTCTCTCTGTTGCCAGGCGCCAAGCTGGAGTGCAGTGGCACTATCTCGGCTCACTGCAACCTCCGCCTCCCGGGTTCAAGCAATTCTCCTGCCTCAGGTTCCTGAGTAGCTGGGACTATAGGCATGCACCACCATGCTCAGCTAATTTTTGTACTTTTTAGTAGAGATGGGGTTTAACCATGTTGGCCAGGATGGTCTCCATCTCTTGACGTGATCCGCTCACCTGGGCCTTCCAAAGTGCTGGGATTACAGGTGTGAGCCACCACGCTGGCCAATAGAGGTTTTATAATACTTCTTAGCTTTTTTTGAGTGAACCTTCCCTTATACTAGATAAGCCTAATGTTTAGATTTTCTTACATTTTATTTTATGCACATTTTCAGGAGCCATTTACACAAAATTAGGATACTGCCAGTGTGATTTACACAAAATTAGGATACTGCTAGTGTGTACTTTTTTTATGCAATAAGTCTACTTTGTTCACTATCTCCCCAGTATCCAAAGCAGTGTCTAGCATACAACAGGCTCTCAGAAGGTCTTTGATGAATAAATGAATGACCAGATCCACGTAGGATAATATATGTGACAAAGAGGAAAGAATACTTCAAAAGCTAGTAGTGAATTCCCCTTAGAAAGATAGCTGCCCTTTTGTGGATAATCCATTGTGATGGTTAATTTTATGTGTCAGTTTGCCTGGGCCATTAGATGCCCAGATATCTGGTGAAACATCATACTGGTTGTGTCTGTGAGGGTGTTTCTGGATGAGATTAACATTTGAATTAGTAGACTAAGAAAAGAAGATTGCCTTCTCTAATGTGGGAGGACCCCATCCAATCAAATGAAGACCTTAAAAGGACAAAAAGGCTCAACAAAGGGAAACTCCTCCTGCTTAACTGCTTTGAGCCAGGACATTGATCTTTTCAGGCCTTAAGACTTACACTGAAACATCAGTTCTCTTTCTTTTTAGTTTATTTATTTATTTATTTTTAATTTTTTTAATTGACACAGAGTTGTACATATGTATGGCATACTTAGTGATATTGCAATACATATATAAAGTATAGTGATCATATCAGGGCAATTAACATATCTGTCATGGCAAACATTTATTATTTTTTTGTATTGGGACTGAGGGATTGTTTCCTTGACCTTGACCCCCTTTGTGAGCAGAAACTGGAGTGGCTCATTTCACTCAGCCTGCAGTCCATAGATGGCCAAATGTTAGAAGCTCAGTGAAGGGTCAGGGTGACAGCCTCCTGCACATGCTATTTTTGACACCTGAGTTCTTGTTCAGTATTCAGAAAGAGTCAGGTCACATGAACTACTTGAAGGATAGTATATGTGGAGGATTATATTGGGTGATAAAAGTGGCTTTTAGTGGGATGGGGAATTGGAAAGGGGATGGTGTGGGAAGAAGGTGATCTTACCCTGAAGCTGAATCATCTAAAGATAACCAAGTCTCCAAAGTCTCCTATACTTAGCCGCTTGTATCCCCAACATTCACATGACAGTTTTATCTGTAGCTTTTTGATGACCCAACATACTATTCTCCACAGTGGCTGTGCTAATTTACATTTCCACGAAGGGTATGTAAGAGTTCCTGTTTCTCCACATCCCTGCCAGTATTTTTTTTATCTTCATGATAACTGGGGCGAGATGATACCTCACTGTGGTTTTCATATGTAGTTCCCTGGTGATATGGTTTGGCTGTGACCCCACCAAAATCTCATCTTGAATTGTAGCTCCCATAATTCCCATGTGTCATGGGAGGGACCCAGTTGGAGGTACTTGAATCATGGGGGTGGGTCTTTCCCATGCTGTTCTCATGATAGTGGATAAGTCTCATGAGATCTGATGGTTTTATAAATGGGAGTTTCCCTGCACAAGTTCTCTCCTTCCTGCTGCCATGTAAGATGTGAGTTTGCTCTTTCTTCGCCTTTTGTCATGATTGTGAGACTTCCCAACCATGTGGAACTATGAGTCCATCAAACCTCTTTTTCTTTGTAAATTACCCAGTCTCAGGTATGTCTTTATTAGCAGCATGCGAACGAGACTAATACCTGTGATGAATAGTTATGTTGAGCATTGTTTCCATATATTTGTTGGTCATTTGTATATATTATTTTAATAAATGTCTGTTTAAATCATTTGCCCATTTTTTAATTGGATTGTTTGTTTTTTTGTTTTTGTTTTTATTTTGCCATTGTATATTCTGGCTGTTAATCCCCTGTCAGATAAATAGTTTGCAAATATTTTTCTCCCATTCTGTCTTTTTACTCTGTTGATTGTTTCCTTTGCTGTGCAGAAGGTTTTTAGTTTGGTATAACAAAAGCAAAAATAAACAAATGGGATTGTATCAGACATCAGCTCTTCTGGGGTCTTGAGCCTGTGAGTTCTCATACTGAAACTGCACCATTGGCTCTCCTGGGCCTCCACCTTGCTGATTGCAAATCTCAGGACTTTTCATCCTCCGTAGTCACATAAATCAATTCCTTATAACAAATCTCTTTCTGTAAATATATACATAAGTATGTAGTTTTACATACTGTTCTGTTTCACTAGAGAACCCTGACTAGTACAGGCATTAAAGGAATTTTTATTTCCAGCAGGATGGAAGACAAGGTACTTCAAACTACCCTTCCAATGGAAAATCACTAAAACACTAAATGAAATCTTTTTTAAAACTATCTTTGAAATGCATCATTAAGTAAGCCAGCACAAATGTAAGGAATGTGCAGAAACAAAAACAAAGACAAAATAATTAGGTCACCAAGCTCTAAAATTAACTTTGACTCTGAAGTTTTCTGCTGTACCCTAAAGACCCTGAAATTTACTGGGTCATGGGTTACTGAATGGGAAGGACTAGGAGACAAAACTAAATGTCTGTACATAAAAATAACTCTTCTTATTTTTACCCCTTTATAAGCTTAACTTCCAATTCTTACTAAAGGCATACCTCCTTTTATTGCACTTTGTTGAATATTTGTTAAATTGAAGATTTGCAACAATCCTGCATCAAGCAAGTCTATTAACATCATTTTTTCAACAGCTTGTGTGCATTTCATGTCCCTGTGTCACATTTTAGTAGTTCTTGCAATATTGCAAATTTTTCATTATTATATCTGTAATTGTGATCTGTGACCCGTGGTCTTTGATGCTATGCTTTTAATTGTTTTGGGGCACCACTAATCATGCCCATATAAGATAGTGAATTTAATTGATAAATATTGTATGTGTTCTGACTATTCCACCTCCCCTTTGGGCTCCCTGTTCCCTCAAACACAACAACACTGAAATTAGGACAATTAATAACTCTGCAATAAACTCCAAGTGTTCAAGTGAAAGGAAAAGTCGCAGGTCTCTCACTTTAAATCAAAGGCTAGAAATGATTAAGCTTAGGGGAGGGTCAAAAGTCCAGACAGGCCAAAGCTAGGCCTCTTGATAACTAAACAGTTAATCAAGTTGTGAACGCAAATAAAAAGTTCTTGAAGGAAATTAAAAGTGCTACTCCAGTGAACACAGTAATGGTAAGAAAGTGAAACACCCTTATTGCTAATACAGAGAAAGTTTCAGTGATCTAGATAGAAGATCAAATCAGCCACAATATTCCCTCAAGCCAAAGTCTAAAACAGAGCAAAATCCTAACTCTCTTCAATTCTATGAAGGCTGAGAGAAGTGAGGAACCTGCAGAAGAAAAGTTGGGGCCAGCAGAGATTGGTTCATGAGGTTTAAGAAAAGAAGCCATCTCTGTAGCAAAAATGCAAGATGAGGCAGCAAGTACTGATGAAGAAGCTGCAGCGAGTTATTCACAAGATCTAGCTATGATCACAGATGAAGGGGATTACACTAAACAACAGATTCTCAATGCAAACAAAACAATCTTATTTTGGAAGAAGAAGCCAAAATAGGACTTTCACAGTTAGAGAGGAGTTGTCAATGCCTGTCTTCAAAGCTTCAAAGGACAGGCTGACTCTCTTGGCAGGAGCTAATGCAGTTGGTAACTTTAAGTTGAAACCAGTGCTCATTTACCATTCCAAAAATCCTGGGGACCAGAAGAATTATGCTAAATCTACTTTGCCTGTGCTCTATAAGTAGGGGGAAAAAGCCTGATGACAGCACATTTGTTTATACATAATTTACTGAATATTTTAAGCCCACAGTTGAGATCTACTGCTCAGAAGAAAATATTCCTTTCAAAATATTACTGCTGATTGACAATGCACCTGGTCATCCAAAAGCTCTAATAGAGATGTACAAAGAGATTAATGTTATTTTTATGCCTGCTGACACAACATTCATTCTGTAGCACATGAGTCAAATATTCATTTCATAAGGCTACAGCTGCCGTCAATAATGATTCCTCTGATGGATCTGGGCAAAGTAAACTGAAAGCCTTCTGGAAAGGATTCATCTATCTAGATGGCATTAAAAACATTCACGATACATGGGAGGAGGTCAAAGTATCAACAATAACAGGAATTTCAAAGAAGTTGATTCCAACCCTTATGGATGACTTTGAGGGATTCAAGACTTCAGTGCAGCAGGAAGTAACTGCAAAAGTGGTGTAAATAGCAAGAGACTACAATTTGAAATGGAACCTGCAGATGTAACTGAATTGCTAAAATTTCATGATAAAACTTGACAGATGAGGAGGTACTTCTTATTGATGAGCAAAGAATGTGGTTTCTTGAGATGGAATCTACTTCTAGTGAAAATGCTGTGAACATTGCTGAAATGACAATAAAGGATTTAGAATATTACATCAACTTAATTGATAAAGCAGTGGCAGAGTTTGAGAGGATTGACTCCAATTCTGAAAGAAGTTCGACTACGGATAAAATGCTATCAGGCAGCATCACATGCTATAGAGAAATCTTTTGTAAAAAGGAGTCAATTGATGCAGCAAAATTCATTGTTGTCTTATTCTAAGACATTGCCACAGCAACCCCAACCTTCAGCAACCACCACCCTGATCAGTCAACAGCCACCAACATCAAGGCAAGACCCTCCCCCAGCAAAAAGATTATGACTCTCCAAAAGCTCAGATAATCATTAGCATTTTTAGCAGTAAAGTATTTGTGAGTAATATATATGTAATGCTATTGTATACTTAGTAGACTACAGTATACTATGAACATAATTTTTATATGTAATGGGAAACCAAAACACTGTTGGCTCACTTTATTGTGAATTGGCTTTATTGCAGAAATCTGGAACCAAACTCACAATATATCTGAGATACACCTAAATTAGTTTTACCTAGACTTAAAGCTGGTACTCTCAAAGAACTATAACTCACTTGTAAAGGAGAACTACACCAATTTGTTATTCAGAAGTAAAGTGTCTGAAAGAAGGGAGGAAAAGATGAGTGGAGGGAAGCAAAACTCTCTGACTCCTCTTTCCACTAGGCAGTGAAGCCTCCTCATTTTCGGATTTATCCAGAGCACCTTCAAATTCTCAGTTCAAATAAGGCTCTTCCCAATTTACTGCTTTAGTTCAAGGATTACAAAGCAGAGCGGTCCATTCATTAGAAGGAAACAGCTAAACTTTATTAAAATTTTCTTTTCTTCAATAAATCATATATATATAGAAAATTGTTACCTGCTGAAGATTCTCTCCACCTTATAGAAATCTTCTGCCCTTAATTTCGGTGTAAAGAGCATGTTGCTTGGAGAAGCCACTAAAGTGTCAGTGAGTGAGCTGACAATGTCAAATCATCCACGGATTTGACATTGTGTTCAAGGAGTGTTTGAAAACTCAACCCCAAGTTTGGCAGATAATTTAATCACAATTTTGGATAAATGACATATCTTTAAAGCAAACATTAAATGGATACCTCTAAGGGACAAGGTGTGCAATTAAGGTTTCTTTCAAAATAATCAACTTTGTATGAACAATAGAGGAAGGAATTGATATGGCAATGGATCTCTAAGAGGGAATAAAAGAAGAGAAAATATATTTTCAAGAGGCACCATGAAAAAGCAGAACTTTCCATTCAGTTCATTTCTACATATATCTGCTAAGTGTCTCCTATGTATAGGGAACAGAACGAGGCCAAAGCATTAAAAAAAAAAAAAAAACACCAGATAATGTCTGGATGCACGAAGTCCATTCTAGTGCTATAATCAGTGGTTATAATGTCCAATTCTCTCTTTTTCTTAGTAAATTTTCTTACTGAAGTAAAGCCCACACAAAGAAAAGTTTATGATGTACAGCTCAATCTGAACAAAGTGAAACAAATCTATGTAATCGCTACTTGGATCAAGAAATAAGATATTACCAAAATTCATTGCGGCTTTGGCTGTCCTCTAATGCTTTCAAGCGACTGTTTTTCATAATTTTTTTAGCTTGTATACTTCTGCCACTCGAAGGGTTAATCTATTACCAACTACTCCCTCATCCTCAAGCAGAAGTTCATTATATACTACTGAATTCTCACAAAACTTGTGGGGTGGTATTATTATTCTAATGTTCAAGTTTAGAAAATTGAGTTCCAGAGATACATCGTTTGCCAGCCAGCTGGTAGGTTGGTGATCTGGAGCTAAGGTTTAAACTCCAGAGCTCCCACTTGACCATGATGCCATATTGCTTTCCAATAAGGCACAGTCTTGTGCATAAGGAGTTTACAGTTTTTATGATATTGCTATGATTTGAATGTTTGTGTTCCCTCTAAAATTCATGTTGAACATTATTCCCCAATGCTACAGTATTAATAGGTGGGGCCTTAATGAGGTGATCAGGCCATGAGCTTCACCCTCCTGAACTGGATTAGCACATTTATAAAAGGGCTGGAAGGAACTAGCAAGGCCCTTTTTTGCCCCTCTGCCCTCTACCATCTGAGGAAACAGCTAGAAGGTGCCATCTTAGAAGCAAAGGGCAGGCCTCAGCAGACATCAAATCTGCTGGCACTTTAATCTTGGACTTCCCAGCCTCTAGAACTTTAAGAGTAAATTTCTATTGTTTATAAATTACCCAGTCTCAGGTATTTTCTAGAGCAGCATGAACAAACTAATGAAATGGGAGAGTTCCTTGATTCCCCTTACAGGATGTGCAACAGGTGTGTGGCTCACATGTTTGGTCACCCCACAACTCAATTCAAACCCTTTACAGGAGGGGGAGCATGCAGATGGGCAGGTGCAAGAACTGGGATGAGCACTTTTGGGCTCCAGCCCCACAGCAGCATCTAGGGGTGGGTGTCTGTGACTCCCAAAGCCCAAGTGGGTGTGTGTTACAGTGTACTTCTTTAGCTTTGTCATCTGCAGACAGCTCGTGTGTTAATCAGCTCAACGGATGCTCTGCCTTATCGCAACAGCAGGGGGCCAGTGTGACAGCCTTCAGTATCCCAAGCTCTCGCCCAGTGTCCCAAAAGAATTGGATTACACGTGGGCTTGAAAGATGAGAGCAAAGTTTCATTGAGTGGTGGAGGTGGCTCTCGGCAAGATGGATGAGGAGCCAGAAAGGGGGATGGAGTGGGAATGTGATCTTTTCGTGGAGTGGGGCCCAGTGAATGGACTCCTCTGACCGCCCCCGACTGAATTTCCCTCAGCATCTAGACAGCTCTCCTATTCTCTCTCTCTCTCCTGCATTGTTCCACCACCGCTGGTCTGCTGATCTGCTGGTCTCGATATTCAGCCATTGTGTGTGTGCCCTGTAAGATCTTGGGTTTATATGGGCACAGGATGGGGGGGTGTGGTGGGCCAGAGTGGTTTTGGAAAATGCAACATTCAAGTGTGAAAAGAGGAGTGCCTGTTCTCACTTAGGTCTGTGGGCAAAGGACCCTGCCCTTCTCTACCCAACACTTCCCTGTCCCACTTCTGTATCAGAGATATAATATTATCTAGAGATTTGGGTACCAGTCCCTTTATATACTACATATACATATGTATTATATCTAGGGGAATTATATTTTTAAATATGTTATCTCATTTAAGCATTATATTATCTCATTTAATAATTACAACAATCCTATTAGGTAGAAATTAATTTCCATATATTACAGATGTGGAAATTGAGGTTAAGAAAGGTGAAACAACTTTCCTGAGCAGGCACCCAGAAAGTAATCCCACTTCAGAGCACTGGTTCTCCCCACTCCCCTGTCAAGACCACCTATCCCTTGCCCATACACCAACATAGCCAATGAAGGTCACTAGAATAAGAGAATAAATGAAATCAACATCCATTTGTGAGCTAAAATTGTCAGTACAAGAGGACAATACCATAATCCTGAGATCACCCCAGACATAGAATGACATCTAACCAGAGGTGCTTAAAGTCAGTCACAATGAGAAGAGACAGAATCCTTCCATTGTGTTACCTCCTCATTCCTTACCATGGTCTGGGATGGGCGTGGCTACTTCCTTTGATATAAACCATTCCTTGCTCATCCAAGTTGTTTCCTAGTCTACAAAGGGAGATATAGTAACCACCCAATGGGTTCACTTTGCCCGCTGCCTAGACAGAGCAAATTTATCAAGACAGGGAAATTGCAATAGAGAGAGTAATTCACACAGAACCAGCTGTG